TTCTGGGGACGACTTTACCCATGTGAGCGCGATTGAAGATTTTACCACATAGTTGGGTGAATATCTAAGCAGTGAGGGCGAGATTGAACATGTGGGTGAAGACTTGCACGTGGAGGTTCAGGTGAAGAGTCGTCTGAATATTTAGACAGTGGGAGCGTGAATCAAGATTCAAGTTACGATTTAGGTACAGATTAAGGTACATACTTGAGTTTAGTATTAATACTCCGAGCGCGAGTGAAGATTTGGGTGCAGATGTCGGTGAATTTGTAATTTCAGATCTAGGTTAACATTTAGGCAGTCCGAGCGCGAATGCACCTTTAGGTGCAGATTTCGATGAACACTGAAAGACGCAAGGCCCGTGAAGATCTAGCCGGAGATTAAATGCCAACTTAGAGGAACATACACGTCAACATGTAAACAGTGAGCGCATGCGTGAAGATCAATGTGAAGAGTTATGTTCAGATCTACACAGTGAGAGCGCGAGACAAGGTTTGGGTAACGATTCGAATGCGATTCAAGTTAACTTAAGCAGTGGGAGCAAGAGTATTTATGTACAGATTTAGGTGACGCCCTACATTGAGATTTGACCCGAGAGAGCGCGAGTCAGTATTTAGTTCAATATCCAAGTGAATATCTAATCAATCAAACTGTGAATGAATAGTTGGGCGATGAATTATTTAAACAGTGAGGTCGCGAGTGCACATATATGTGAATATCTAAATGAATACGCATGTGCATATTGCACCGTGAGCGCGAGAGTAAGTATTCAGATTTGGAAGAAGGTTCTAACAACGAGAGAGAGGAGAGAGAAAGAGAGAGAGAGAGAGAGAGGCGACTTAGGTGAAGATGTCGGTGAAAGCTCAGGCGACACGGGTTCGAACGAATATCTAAATCAAGATGCTCGTGGGGATGCGAATGTCACATGACAACGCGTACTTCGCTGAACTACCATAAGGATATCCCCCGCGCGACGACGCCGCGGCACAAAACAAAACGGACATTTAAACACATGGTTGTATAAGAAGTCCGCAAGGCCTGGACCCGACATGCCGTCCTAGTCTTGCTGTGGTGTCTTCTCTCTTTCCCCCTCTCTCCCTCTCTCTCTCTCTCTCTCCGTCTCTCCCTCTCTCTTTCTCGCTGTCTCTATACGCATATATGCATCTGTAGATACATGCATACATACGTTCCCCAAACACTGCTTGCACGTAAAGGTCCGCCCCTCTTGTTTGAAGAGTTCGGCCAATCTGTCGGTCCGGTGACTACGTGGCCGCCGTCGCCGCCTCGTCGCCACCCTGTTGCCGCCCTGCATTTCCTCCTTCGTGTTGTCAGCTCGCCCCGGGGCTATCCCTCCCCGCTCTTCCGGGGTGCATCCGTCCACCCAAGGGATGCGCAATTGGGTGCGATTCTGGGCCACCGCTCGTTCGAAATATGAAATCGTACCTGGCCGACCAAACCAACATCAATCCCCCCCTCGTATCGTCGTCATATCATTCTATGGGCGAGAGTTCGTTTACCACAAATCGCTGGCATACGCGAGTGCGTTGCAACAGTTCGGGCGGTATGCGCACGGGTGCGAGTCTGCCGCGCGCGAGTGTCGAACTCTATGCAACAAAAATCATGGCCGACGCGTGGGCGCCGTCACCGCCATCGGCGTGATCGACATCGGTACCGTCATTGACCTTGTCGTCGTCATCGCCATCGTCGCCAGCAACACCGTTACTATCAGCCTCGGTTCTGCGGTCGCGTACGCAGACATGATACAACGCCCGCCCGGGACTCCATCTCACACTGAAGTGCCCGCGCGCCAACGCGGCATGCGCAACGGGATGGGAGGTGCCCAACGGTCATCGCCACCGCGGCCGCGTCGGTCGTGCCAGACTAACTAGGTGGCCGCTCTGCGCGCGAGCCCGCGCGCGCTATCGTGGCCACAGCGATGCGCCACCCAGCGCCACGCAATCATAGCCGCCGCATGGGTTTTGCAAACCAAGTTGCGGGTGGGTTGGTGGTGTAATGGCGCGAGCACTTGAGTTGACCACTTCAGGTTCGGCAGGGCGAACTACACAGCACCGATTGTACCACAAAGATGCACAACATGAGTTGCACCACGTAAATTGCACCACGTACGTTGCACACCATGGGTTGCACCGCATAGACTGCACCACGTGGGTTCTCTTCACTAAGAGGAAAATGATCTCTACCTCCCCCCAGGGTTCAATATCCCCCGGGAATCGCTGCAAAACACATCGGGTTCTGACCCAATGTCCATCCTACCGGTGAATTCATACTATCCCGACCAACCAATATCGCCCCCTCGCCATCCTCTGCAAAACATCCTATGCGCGCGCACTCGTTTATACAAAGTTACAAGTTTTCAAAAATCCCTTGCACAAAAAATGACGAAGTGCACACGCCCGCGTCGTCGCGCGCGCACGCAAAAATCCTTCAAACATATTCGGTTTCGGAAGGGCTTCAAAATCGAGCTCCCCAAGGTCATACAACAACACATGGTTTCGCAACACCGATGTTCCAAAATTATGTTTGCGCCCGCGCTCTTGCAAAATCTTAGGAAGCCGTAGGTTTCTCACGATTCCCCCAACAAATACCAAACGGGCTTCGCGCGCGCATGTCGAGATCTTTCGAACGCTCTTGCGCGCGTGCCGTCGCGAGAATCCCCTGCAAACAATACGACGAAGTGCACGCGCGCGCGCGTCGTCGCGCGCACATGCCGAAATCCTTCAAACAATCTCGGTTCCGGACGGGTTTCAAAAATGAGTGTCCAAAATGCATGGGACAACCACTAAGGTTTCGCGACACGGATTGTCATTAGAAGCGTGCGCGCGCGCTCTTGCGTCGTCGTCGTCGTCGTCGTCGCCGTCCTCCCTCCTCCATCGTCGTCGTCGTCGTCGCCGTCGTCTAGTCCTCTGTCTTTACTCGTCGTCGTCGTCCTCTTCGGCGTCGTCGTCGTTTCCGTCGTCGTTGTCGCCGTGGTCGTCCTTCCTCCTCCCTCGTCGTCGTCGTCGTCGTCGTCGTCGTCCGTCGTCGGCGTCTCGTCGTCGTCCCTCCTATTTCGTCGCCGTCGTCGTCGTCGTCGTCTTCCCTCCTCCCTCGTCGGTGTCGTCGTCGGCGTCGCCGTCCTCCCTCCTTCTACGTCGTTCGCGTCGTCGCCGTCCTCCCTTCTCCCGCGTCGTTGTCGTCGTTGTCACCGTCGTCGTCCTCCCTCCTCCCTCGTCGTCGTCGTCTTCGTTGGCGACGTCGTCGTCGTTCTCGGCGTCGTCGTCGTCGTCTTCGTCGGCGTCGTCATCGTCGTCGTCGGCGTCATAGTCGTCGGCGCCGTCGTCGTCGTCATCGGCGTTGTCGTCGTCGTCGTCGTCGGCGGCGTCGTCGGCGTCTGCGTCGTCGTCGTCGTCGCCGTTGTCATCGTCGTCGTCGTCGGCGTCGTCGTCGTTGGTGCCGTCGTCGTCGTCGTCGTCGTTGGCGTCGTCGTCGAAGTCTTTGGAGACGTCCTCGGCGTCGTCGTAGTCATTGTCGGCGGCACCGTCGTCGTCGTTGTCGCTGTCGTCGTCGGCAACGGTGTCGTTGCCAAGTGCCATTTGGTACCTACCGTCACGGTCTTAAGAGGTCTTGCAACCAAGTTGCGGGTGGGAGGGTGGGATGTTTGCACCATCAGTGGAGAGGACAGTTTCAAGTTGAGCAAGTGATTGATTGGAACACATAGGTTGCACAACATATATTGCACCACGTAGACTGCACCACATGAATTGCACACACACGCACAAACACTCACACACACACACACGCACACACACACACACACTCACACACACACACACTCACACTCACACTCACACTCACACTCTCTCTCTCTATATATATAGGTGTGTGTCACCGATTGCAACACATTGACTGCAATTACCAGACTGTTTGGGGTCCGCGTTGGCTAGCCGACGCACGCACACACACGCACAATCACACGCACATGCATCTCTCTCTATATATATATGTATCTGCGCACAAACATATATATATACTCTCTCTCTATATGTATATATACAAGTGGCACGTGTGTGCCCAGGCTCATACAACAAGCTGAAGGGGCGTTTGAAGCAGGAGTGACATGCAACAGCGAAGTCGCACTCGAGCGCAAGTGGGGTTGCCACACCTTGCGATGTGTGTACCAGGGCCCCCCAGGAAGCCTCAGGAGGCCCGACTTGGATACCAGAAGAGGCTCCAGGAGGCCCCAGGATTGTGAGTGTTGTGTGTGTGTGATGTGTGCTTTGTGTGGTGCGTGCTTTTTGTGTGTTGTCGGTGTGTGTGTGTGTATGTTATGTTTGTCTAGCGTGTGATGTGTTGGGCGTGATTTGTGTCTCTGTGTGTGCATGTAGTTCTGAAGCCCCAGGAGGCCCCAGGAGGCCCCAGGCGGCCTCAGCAGGCCCAGGAGAACTCCAGGAGGCTCCGAGGCGGGGTCTGGGGTACCAGAAGGTCCAGAAAGCCCCAGGAGGCCCCAGGAGGTTCCAGGAGGCCCCCAGGAGGCTCCGAGGATGGGTCTGGGGCTCGATTTTGGGAGGATTTTTCATGCGAAACCGCCACTCTCTGAAATTACAATGTGTTTTTGAAGGTTTTATGTTAAAATGTTGAAATTCCCATGTGTTTTTGGACCCTGACGTCACGATCTGCGTGAGGGGTGCCACCGATTTTCAGAATTTCGAGGATGTCCCGAGCGAAACGGCCAGAAAAATCGCGGACGACGTGCGCATTAATCGCCTTGAGCTCTACTCCCTCGGAGAGGTGCGTATGAGAATATGTATACATGTGTAACCCGCGATAGCGGCTAGAAAGCTCCGGACCCCTACCTGTCTGCCGAGAGGTCTGGGGGCCCCAGGAGCCCCCAAGCCGTCCCGAGATCGGGCACGGAGACGTCCTGCCCAGGGGGGCTCCCGCGGCCCAGACGCGCCGAGAGCGCCAGGAAGCCTCAGGAGACCCCCCCGGCCCGGGGGCGGCCCTCAGAGGTCGTCGTTCGCCGCGGCCCCGACAGTGGCAGGGGCGACCTTGTTGCCGCCCTCGATCATCTCCTCGTCGGCCTCGTCCCTCCAGACGGCGCTGTCCTCCTGGCCGGTCGGGGCGGGGGGGAGAGACAGGGGGCGAGGGGGGAAGGAGGGGGAACAACAAGGGCTCCCAACTTCGCGCTTCGCACTGCGCGAAGTGCGAATAACTTCGCGCCCTCGCGCCGCCTCCCAGGGGAGAAGAGGAGGATGAGGAGGAATCGGAGCCGAACCGCGAAGCGCGAATAACTTCGCGCCCTCGAGGGCGCCCCAGGAACAAGGGGCGTCCGAGGCTGGGATGCTCCCTGCGAGGCAGGGGTGCCGAGCGGCGACGAGGAGGCGGCTCTCGGCTCCAAGGGTGCAACGCACCTGCCAGCCGTGCCGTGCCCGAGCCCCGCGCCGTGCTCCAGTTAGTGCAGAGGGTGTGCCGCCCGTGTGCCGCGCAGTGATGGCGCCGCTATGTGCTGTCGACTGTCTAGTGCGAGCTGCGTGGTGCAACCCATGTGGTGTAAAGCGTGTGGTGAGAGCTGGGGGAACAACGCGGTGCAGTTCAAACTGTGTGGTGCACTTGCGATACATGTGGCGTGCGTCGTGTGATGTGTTATGAGGACCTCTTGGAAACTCTGGGGAGGCCTCTCCGGAGGTCTTACGGGACCTCTCAGAAGCTCGTAAGAGGCGTGTTGGAAGCTATGATGGAGCCTCCTGGAAGCTACTGAAGGACCCCTTGGAAGCTATTGCTGATGCCCCTTGGAAGCTATTCAGGGGCTTCTTGGAAGCCCTTGGTGGGATCCCTTGAAGCTATAAAAAGGGGTCCTTGACGCTCTGAAAGTTCTTCCTTGAAGTCCCACCAGCCCTTTGGGCGTGAGTGGTTTAGAGAGCCCGCTCTGTTCTCAACCCCCTTCTTCCCCTTCGGGGAGGGGTTTACCCCTCCCCCTACCCCCTCCCCCTGGGCCTGGAGAGGTCCCTCCGCGGGTGGCCGGTTGGGTCTTTTTCGACTCCTGGGAGGACTAAAAAACGACACCCCTCACGAGGATTCTGGCCCCGACGGGGGGAGGCAGAAAAGTGCTCCCCTCTTCTTTGAAGCCAAACTCATTGATTTTACTACGGTTTTGGCCCCATTTTGGCCTTCTGAGGGGGCAGCGCTAATTAAAGCTCCCCTCTTCTTTCAAGCCAAAATCATTGATTTTACTAAGGTTTTGGCCCCATTTTGGCCTTCTGAGGGGGCAGCGCTAATTAAAGCTCCCCTCGTCTTTGATCGATTTCCTTCACGATGGCCCCAAGAAGCGCCCAGGAGGCACCAAGAGGCCCCAAGATGGCCCCAAGAGGCCCCCAGGAGGCCCCCAAGAGGATCCCAAACGGCCCAAAGAGGCCCCCCCGAGGCACCCAAGACGCCGAAAAGCCCATCAGGACGACCCTCTACTCGCCTGGGCGTCGTTTCTGGACGGGCAGGAGGAGGGGCCCGAACGACTCACACCAGGACGAGGGGCCCGAACAACTCACACCACGAGAAGCCCGAACGACTCACACCAGGACGAAGAGCCCGAACGACTCACACCACGAAGAGCCCGAACGACTCACACCAGGAAGAAGGGCCCGAACGACTCACACCAGGACGAGAAGCCCGAACGACTCAAACCACGAGGAGCGCTTTCTCTCCCTCCTCCTCCGCCTCGTCCTTCTCCCGCTCCCACCACAAGGAGGATGTACAAGGAGGCGGGAGGAAGGAGGAACAGGGGAGATATGCGGGGGCAGGCGGAAACACGCCTGAATAACACGACTGTCGGCATGCTTCGCTAGAGTTGCTGTTTTGAGATGGGCTGGTGGGGATACGCGAAGCGTGAAGAATTCTTTAAAAAAGGATCTCTTGGAAGCTCTCGAGGGGCCTCTTGGAAGCTCTTGAGGGGTTTCTTGAAAGCTCTTGAAGTGCCTCTTGGAAGCTCTTGATCGGGTCTTTGGAAACTCATGAGGGCCCTCTTGAAGCTCTGTTAGTCTTGCTTCTTGGCGGCCTCTTGGGGGCTCGGAGCCTTGTCTGAGGAGCCTCTAGAGACGGTTTGAGGCAATCCTGGGCGTCTCTGACGGTGTGGGCCTGTTGAGGGTCCCTCCTCGGCCGTTTCGGGGCCCTCTCCGGTCGTCTTGAAGCGCTCTTGAGGGCCCCTTGGACCGTCTTGGGGACCTCTTGGGCTGTCATAGGCCGTCTTGTCTTGGGCAGCCGGAAGCCTGGAACACCAAAAGCAGGAACTCCGTCCCAAACCATTGATTTTGCCACTTGGCGCTGTCTCGGGGGCCATCTCGGGATCTCCCCAGGGTGTCTCAGGAGTCTTCGCATAGCTCAGTTAGCTTCTGGGAGTGACAGACTCTTCCTCCTCTCCCTCCTCCTCATCCTCCTCTCGTACTCCTCCTCCTCCTCCTCCTCCTCCTCCTCCCCCTCCTCCTCCTCCTCCTCCTCCTCCGGGGCGTGAGAGTACGAGTCAGGAGTCTCTGGAGACGGAGTGAGGCAGTCCTGGGCGTCTCTGAGCACCTCGGAAGTCCAAAAAGGAGGCCCCCAGGAGAGCATTCTTGGGCGGCCAAGGGCCGCTCCGAGGGGGGGGGGGGCACGGGGGGCGTCGGCACCGCCCGAGGCCACCGGAGAAGGGCCCACATTGGGGGAGAAGAAGAACGTCCTGGAACCCGGCTGGCCCCTTTGTGAACGCGGCGAGGGAGCAAGCACATGTTTGTGTCTCTTTTCCTTTCTGTCAGCGTCGCTTGCGGAGGAGCATCCGCGCCACGTGCACCACGCGGTGTGGTCACCACGCTAGGGGCCTCGTCCGAGTAGATGGGGTCGGAGGATCGCGCCGGGTCGCCAATGCATCCCCGATGTATCGGCGATGCATCGGCGACGTCGGCGATGCATCGGCGACGTCGGCGTGGGGAAACACGGGCTCCGCATCGAGTCGCATCGCCGATGCACTCTACTCGCACGGCGAGCTCGCGCGCGCGCGCCACGGGCAGCCCGCGCGGCCCCAGGATGAGGATGGGAGGACGAGGAATCAGCATCGAAGGTAAAGGGGAGGGCGGCGGGTAGGGGCGTGTAATTGTGAAGGGCGCAGGGGGGCGTCAGCGGGGGATGAATTGCGCCCCTGGGCGCGTCCCCGCGGCGGAGATTTCCACATGCCGCGGGGGAACGGGCCTGCACCTGGAAGGCAGCTTCGTGCGGCCCAGGATCAGCTCGCGCTGCCAAGCCGCGCGGTCCTAAACTTAGAGGGTCGCCTCTTGAAGGTTCCATCGCGTGCAGTAGCCTCTGACCCAAGTGGCCTACAGTGGGGGCCCGAGCACAAGAAACCTTCCACAAGAATCCCTGAGACCCCACGCCGTCCATGGATTCTTGGTGTGGGAACGCCACGCCTCCCATAACAAAGCCATCGAGACCCAAGCAACCCAGGGCACCCTGGAGGAAGGCAGGGTGCTCCTTGTCATGGGTCTCCGCTGCACTGGTTTCGAGAGCGCAGCCTGGAGCTGCGAAGAAGCAGCCAACATCTGCTTCCCCCATGGTCCAAAACTCGGGGATGGACAGACCTCCCTTTAGTAAAACGTGGTTTAGTGAAAACGACCTGAAGCCCAAACCTGGCGGGCGCGAGCCTGCACAATAACGGCCGCGGCGCCCTCTCGAGAACCGAAAAAAGACAATTCACTAATCGACGTGTGACTGTTGGGGGTTCTGTCCACCCCCGAAAAACGCTAGTGCGCAGTACCCGGGAACCTCGCCGGACCCCAGAGGACGTCGAACAGCGTTGGACAGCCGCGGCCCCCAGCTGCCACCCCAAGACACCACCGAGGCGGACCCCAGACTGCGCCCCGAGGACACGAATCGGCTCCCGGAAGCCCCGAGTGCTCCCCGTCCTCCGCCTCCTCCTCCTCCCCCCCCCCCGCCTCTCCCGCTCCCCTCTCGCCCCCTCTCGTGGCCCTTCCCTTGTTCTACTTCACCCCAGGGCGCGGCAGCGCATGCCCCGACAAAAAAAATGTCTACAGAAGTCCACGAGGGAGGAGAAATACCGCACGAAGCGCACGAATAGGCAGACCGAGCCGCACCGCATCGCTGCGGCCGTTTGCTTCGCAGCTGCGCGGCCCACTTGACGTGACCCCTGTCCCGGCGTTCGCCACGAACGGGCCCCAGCGAAGCAGCGCATGCCAGCAGGTGGAGCGCAAACCACACATCCCAGAACAGTGGCAGCGGCACCTCCTGCCATCGCCCCGACCTCCCCCCCTGGGCACCGGCTTCTTCGCCGTCGGCTTGATTCCTTCACGAGCGCCGCAGGCATTGGTGTGACCCACTTCGAACGCTCGGCTCGGATCGTGCTCTGGGCGGTCTGGAGACGAGTAATTCGGTCCTTGGTGGGCTCGGGGGCCCTATGTCGGGAGCGGCCAAGAGGGGGGTGTTCAAGAGGGGGGGGTGCAAATCATGACCGGCGGCATGTGCGCGGCCCAACGGGGGGGCCAGGGACGTAATGAAATAAGAAGAGGCGCCATGAAATCTGGGGAAATATCATGGCCCCCGCCATGATATCTACCCCCCCTAGTCATCACCCCCCTCTTTTCCGCCCCGACTATGGAGTATTTGGGCATACTGATCTGGCGACTTGAGTCCGCGTCCCCTGCACCCGGACGCCTGGCCGCTATTGCCGGCGCGGCGAGAACGAACATGCAGTGGTTCAAGTTCTCCTTGAAGGCTTGAGGGCGTGAAGGAACGCCAGAGAATCTGGGGTTGCTGTGCAGTGGGAGTGGATAGCTGCAGACGGCATGTCCAATATCGAGGGCGAGCGAGCTACAGCCTCAACCTCAGACTTCGAGATGGGCTCCTGGAATACTGGCTTTGGGAGGAAGCTGCTTGACTTCGTCATTGGGCCGACTGGGGGACCTGTGACGGCACCTGGGCTTCCTCGAACGGCGTCGTACTGATCTGCCTCTTTGCTTCTTGTGCTGACCCCATACATTGCCACATGAACACTGCCATTGCGAGTTTGCAACGTGTGTGCCACATTCTTTGCCTCGCCCCCGTTGGCGTTCCGTGCGAAGAGCATTCACGTATGCGGGCGGTTCTAGGCTTGCAGGCTTTGGCTGATGCAGGAAAGTGGCCAGAAGGGCACCTGTGGGTGGGCACGAGGGCAACACCAAAGATGGGCCACCTGGCTGGGCGGCCTTCTGTGAGGCTCCGTTGGTAGAACGTGTCACCCTGGACCAACCTCGAGAAATGATTGCTTGAGCCAAGATGGTTGGAGCTAACATTGCGACGGACCTCCTCCTCCTCCTCCTCCTCCTCCTCCTCCGACTCCTCCTCCGCCTCCCCGTGCTCCCCGTCGTCTCCCTCCTCCCCGTCCTCTTTTTTGCCGTTGAGCAGGTTGAACCCTCAGATTACATCATCCTGCAGTGCAGAGAGAAAAGCCAGAGGCGCAGAAGACAGAAGGACCAGGCTGCTTCGTCGTCCTCCTCCTCCTGCTCCTCTCCTCCGCCGTCCCCGTCCCCGTCCTCCCCGTCCTCTCCCCCGGCCCTCCCCGCCCTCTCCTCCCCGGGGGGGGCGGGGCCTGGTCTTCGGTCGCCCCGACCCCGCCGTAGCCCATGTGCCCCGAGCCCGCCGAGGGCATCCACGCCCACATCGCAACGAGGACCATGCCTGGCTCGGCGGTCCCGGGGCGGCGCGGGCCCCCTGTGCCCGCCACTCGTCGGCGGCGGGGGGCACTGATGAGGATCGGGGAGGAGGAGGGGGAGGGGGAGGAGGAGGAGGGGGAGGATCAGGGCGGAGGAGGAGGAGAGTGGGGGAGGAGGATGAGGAGGAAGATCAAGGAGGGCCGAGGAGGAGGAGGAGGAGGAGGAGGAGGAGGGACGTTTTTGGATTGCGGGTTTGGTTGTTCATGCTTGGCGTGTGCGTGCGCGTGCGCGTGCGCGTGCGCGTGCGCGTGCGCGTGCGCGTGTGCGTGTGCGTGTGCGTGTGCGTGTGCGTGTGCGTGTGCGTGTGCGTGTGCGTGTGCGTGTGCGTGTGCGTGTGCGTGTGCGTGTGCGTGCGCGTGCGAGCGTGCGCGTGCGTGCGCGGCGCGCGGCGCGCGGGCGCGGGCGCGTGCGCGTGCGCGTGCGCGTGCGCGTGCGCGTGCGCGCGCGTGCGTGCGTGCGTGCGTGTGTGTGTGTGTGTGTGTGTGTGTGTGTGCGTGTGTGCGTGCGTGCGTGCGTGCGTGCGTGCGTGCGTGCGTGCGTGCGTGCGTGCGTGCGTGCGTGTGTGTGTGTGTGTGTGTGTGTGTGTGTGTGCGTGCGTGCGTGCGTGTGTGTGTGTGTGTGTGTGTGTGTGTGTGTGTGTGTGCGCACGCACGTTTCACAAGTGTTGTTTGTTTGTTTGCTGGTGTGTTGGATTCTCTTAGCATCGATGCTGCTCTCGAGCTGCTGTGCTGTCTGCTGCTCTTGGCCTCCTCGTGCCTTTCTGGGGGGAGACGCCTGCGGAGACCTCCTGTGGCCTCTGGGCACCCGACGCATCCGACGTTCTCCAATCAAGGGGACGTAAGACCTGGGTACAGGGGACTCGGAAATCCCCGACGAGGTCGTCAAAAAATGACGAGGCCGAACCTGCATTTTGACGAGGCCTCCCGCTGCAGACATCCCACGAAACTCCTCCTCGTCAAAATCCGAGGCGCGGCCGTCAAAAAACGATGGCGAACCCGAGTCCTGGCAAACCCGGGTCTTACGCTCCCCCGATCCAATGCTCGCCTGTGTTTCTCGACTTCGGCATCCAGGGCCCAAGGGGCCGTTTTCGGCACCGGGGCCACCCGGCGACGATCCACATCGCGCACCCCCCCCACGACGGGGTCGCACATGTCAGGGGGCCCCGCGCGTTGACCAGCTGAAGATGCCGGCAGTCGGCGCGGACTTGAGGTAGAGGAAAAAGAACTGTGCACATACACCGATTCTGGCCAGGCCCATCCTGAGCCCAGGATCGGTGCATGCGCCCTCCTGCCTTGGCCAGGAAGGCATATGCACCGATCCTGGGTCAAGGATGGGCCTTGCAAGGATCGGTGCATGTGCATAGTTCTCTTCGCCCGATTGAGGAGGGAACTAAGAAATGGTCCCACACGATCTTCCCTAACCAGCGACAGCTATAAAAAAACATCGACCTAAATCGAGCTAAAACATCGGCAGCCAGCGGCAACGACTAGAAGCAAACCTCGAGCTGAACCTGGGGAGGAAGCTCGGCTCCGTCCTGCGGAACACTTGCCGCCGTGCCTGTGCCGTGCCCGCACGCCGTGCCGCTTGCAGACCACCCCCCCAACAAAAAAATTCCGCCCGCGTGCCGTGCCCTGCTCCGCTTCGGCCCACGGGGGCCCTGCCCGCGCACGGGAGCTCCGGGACGCGCTGCCCCCCGAGGCCGCCCGCACGAGCCGGCCCGCTCGGGGATCTTCTGACCTGACCACCTACCAAACCACCCCAACCCAACCCGAAGACCCGAATTTCGGGTTGGGGGGGGTAAGGGTTCCACATGTGTTTTTTCGATGTTTCCCGACCCCCCCCCACTGGAAATCGAGGGTAAATCTGAGCCTTCGGGTTGGGTTGGGGTGGTTTGGTGGGTGGTGATGACCCGGGTCGATCCAGACCCGGGTCAATCCAGGAAGCCAAAAGCTGCAATGCCGGAAGAAAAAAACTGCAACGCAGGTCTTCGCAAACCCGGGCCAGCCACTAGGCGCGGCCGCGAGCGGCTCGCTGACCCGGGTCAGCCAGAGGGGGTCTTCGCAGGAGCCTGCAGGATCCGGCGCCCTGGCGGACCCCCGTCTGCACTGACTGGGTAGTCGAAGCCAATCTGGCGCCAATCTGGCAGGCCCAATCTGGCAAACGGGGGCAATCTGGCGAGGGAGCCAACGCGAATCCAGTCTGGCGAATAACCCAAATCCTCCAATATGGCCAGGCCAGATTGGCCCTTGGGGCCCAATCCAGTCTGACAATCTGGCCTTCGACTACCCAGACTGACACCCCGTCTCGAGGCTCCCGGCCCGCACCGCCCGCGTGGCCCCCGGGGGCGGTCCAGCACGCCGCGGCCGACCTGCCTAATAGGGCCCTGGGCGGCGCGGTGCGTCGGCGACCCCACCCGCTCGGACACCCATGTGGGCGACGACAGGTAGCGGGCCTGTCGCGAGATGGCACAGCGATCTGACGCCGCGGCTGACGCGGGGTCCCCTGCGCGGCACGCTGCTCTGGAAACGGAGGCGCTCACGCGCGACCTTGCGGGCAACCTGCGCGAGCATGTCCGCGCAGACGACCCTGGCTCATGTCCGCGAAGACGATCATGCTTTTCCAGCTCCCTACCAAACCACCCCAACCCGACCCGAAAACCCAAATTTCGGGTCGGGAGGGGAATACGGGTTCCACGTGTGTTTTTTCCAGTGTTCCCCGACGCCCCCCCCCCACTGGGAATGGAGGGCACATTGGGGCTTCGAGTTTGGTTGGGGTGGTCTGGTGGGTGGTGATGTTTTGCGTCGCTCAGGTGGGAAGGGGCCCAGGGACACACACACACACACACACACGCAAATCAATACACACAAATCTGAGGATGCCGTCTATTGTTTCGTATTTCTTGATTTTCGTCTCCTCCCCCCCAACACTTTCCATACTTTTCCATATGTCTTTGAACACGGGGATTCCTTTAAGGTCGGACATGTCCCCGTACAGGCGGATGTTGGAAGACACATTCAACCGAGATCAAACATACTCAAAGCCAGTCAACAAATACTAACAAAAATCGCCCCCAGACTACAGTTGGGGCGTTGACCTAAGGAACCCTAAATAAGGAACGAGGCCCCTTTTTTCCATAAGTTAAACTTCTATTCCCGATCGAAAGCCGAAGGAAAACCTTGGGCAAGCTGTGAAACACTCAAGGAACACCCAGCCCCTCCCCAACGAAAAGGGTTCCTTCTTCAGGGCCCCGACTGTATTTTTGAAACCATGTTTGAATCTTCCTCCTACAGAGGAGCATGCCCGACTCGAGATTCTTTGAGCTTGTGTGCCGTTCCTCTCGCGGAAGCCTCGCGGAGCCGACCCGCGGGCCGGACGCCCGCGAGCCCCTCACTACAAGCGATGCCCAAGTATGAATGGGGCCCCAGGGCACACACACACATAAATGCACGCAAAGAAACATATTCCCCATACTTTCCCATATGCTCTGGGTTTCGGACTTCCCCCCCCACTTCCCATACTTTCCCATGTTTTCTTAGGAGTCGAGGATTACTTGTGTCTGTGTGCTTTTTCCTCTCCTGACAGTAAGGAGGCACGTCCTGTTGAAGAGCTCGCAGGAAAAAGCCTCGCGCAGGCTCGATTTTTCCCTCGGGCGGCCGCGTCCACGGAAGCCTCCTGTCGATGGCCTGCTGGCGCCCCTTCGGGGCAGTCGGAAGGCTCCGCAGGAGAGGGAGGAGGAGGATAATGAGGAGGAGGAGGAGGATAATGAGGAGGAGGAGGATAATGAGGAGGAGGAGGAGGAGGAGGAGGAGATGAGGGTGCCTCCTCCTCCTCCTCCGGGGAGGAGGAGGCACCCTCCCGTGGGCCGCAGTGCGCGCCCCCGTGGCTGCCCCGCTGGCAGCGGCGAGTTGAGGCGGCAGCCCACGGAGCAGGCGCGGCGGAGGGGCCGGTGCGTGCGGCAGGAGGTCGATGCAGGAGCCGTGCATGCTGCGGGCTCCAGGAGCATGCACCACCACCACCACCACCTCCATTCCTCCCTCCCTCCCCTGCGCTCCCCTTCCTCTCTCGGCGGTGGACAGACCTCCCTTTCGTGAACAAGGCTTGAAACCGAAACCGACGGGCCTTGACCCGCAAAAATGACGGCCGCGACGCCCTCTCGCGAAGCGAAAACGGCGAATTCGCTAATCGACGTGTCAGGGTAGGAGGTTTATCAACCTTCGACTCTCCTCCCTCCTGGGGAGGGGGAGGGGATGTGGGAGGTGGATGTGGTGGTGGCGTAGTATGTTTTGGGGCCCCGTGCATGCAACGCGCGCTGGCCCACAGCCGGTGGGAAGAAGTAGGTAGAACCATGAAGTAGGAAGGCGTTGGAAGTAAATTGGGTTTCCGCCCGCAGACTGAAGCGGAGGGAGGAAAGATACCCACTCGATCATTAAGTAGGAAGGCGGCTAAAGTAGATTGGGAACTGGGGATCCGAACATGCTTACTTTCAACGACCGACGGGTACAGAAGAGGCAGTATGGCGCACGCAGGCGTCAGTCGCCGCGTTGCGACGCTGCTGTGGTCTGCGCGCAGATCGTGTTAATATATACATGCGTTGCCGTGCACGCGGGAGGTGCTTGAGGGGGCGCAGCTGTACTGCGCAAAGGCGCTGCGCGTCTGCAGCTGGGCACACGGACACCGTGCACCCGGTGATGTACGCAGACGATGTGGTCGACGCAGGGACTGTGCATGCAGCGCGCGCTGGTCCACATCGGGGATCTTCTGACCCGGGTCAATCCAGACCCGGGTCAGCAGGAAACCAAAAACTGCAATGCAGAAGAAAAAAACTGCAACGCAGGTCTTCGCAAACCCGGGTCAGCCAATAGGCGCGGCCGCCTCGCGGCCACGAGCGGCTCGCTAACCCGGGTCAGCCAGAGGGGGTCTTCGCAGGATCCTGCAGGATCCGGCGCCCTGGCTGACCCCCGTCTGCACTGACCCCCGTCTCGAGGCTCTCGACCACAGCCACCGGGCCCCAGCATCGTGGGAACGCCGGCAGCCAGCGAATCGCTCCCACGACTGCGGGAGCGTCGACAGCGTGGGGGCGGGCAGCGGGAAGCGGACGGGGGGACGACGAGACGAGCGCCGGAGTCGTGCGCGCTCCGCCAGGGAGCCTGGCCGTTGCTGAGGGTATGGCGTGGAGGCCCCAGCCGCAGCCTCAACAAAGAAAAGGGGAGGGGGGGAGGGAGGGGGGAGGGAGGGGGGAGCGGCGAGGGATGCAAAAAGGAAGGAAGGGCGGAACGAAAGCCGACCTGCCCCTCCCCCGAGGTGCCAGATGCCGAAGCAGAAATCCGACCACAATCTTCTGGGGCGAAGGCCGGGCACGGACAGGACCCGGCAGAGACAACCAGGGATCTCTGGGAGCCGGCGCTGCCCGGAAGTTGTTGGACGCTCTCTGACGCTCTCGGGGGCGCTCAGATAGCAGCCCAAGGCTCTCTGGAGCGGCTTGTCTTCGTCTCGAAGAAGAGGAATCTTCATAATCAGATGAAGAAGGCGAACCATAATAATAATAATACCAACAATAATGAGTGCTATAAACACAAACTTTTGGCGCTCCGCGCGGAAATTCTTGGATCTGCGCTGGACCTCCCTCCCTGGCGCGCGGAGCGCGCCAGTGGCGGCGCCGGAGGCGTCGCCGGGGGGAGCGAGGCGCCGATCCAAGAAATTCGCGCGGAGCGCCAAAAGTTTTAGAAATTCGCGCGGAGCGCCAAAAGAAATTCGCGCGGAGCGCCAAAAGAAATTCGCGCGGAGCGCCAAACATTTATGTTTCTTGCTTTTTCTTCGATTGTCCGTGCCCTGCCGTCCTTTGGCGACTGGCGGCGAGGGCGCCAAACTCTGACCGACATCGGCCGCCGGGCCTCTCCCGGGCTTCACCCCGACGCTCTCTCGAGCGGCGTCTGGCCGTGGCCACGACGGCCTCCCCAGAGACGCCGGAAAAAAAACAGACGCGACGACGCCCGCTCCCTGCTGCCCCCTTCTGGCGGCGCGCACAAGGGGGTAAGCAGGGGGAGAGGGGAAGGGCCGCATGGAAGCAGCCCTGCTTCTCAGAAGGCGCGGGCCTCGTCAATTATGTAGAGGTAGGGCCGGCGCCCTCCAAGAAGCGGCCGCCTTCCAAGCAGCCTCCCCCCCAAGGGCTCCCAGCTCCGCGCTTCGCGCTGCGCGAAGCGCGAAGTGCAAATCACTTCGCGCTCTCGCGCCGCCTCCCAGGGGAGAAGAGGAAGAGGAGGAATCGGAGCCGAACCGCGAAGCGCAAAGCGCGAAGAGCTTCGCGCCCTCGAGGGCGCCCTTCCCCCCCTGCCCCTGCGCCCTTGTGCGCGCCGCCCGCCCTTGCCAGCCCCCTGCGAGCGTGGGGCCGAGGCGTCTTTTCCGATGCTCCCCCGCGCCCGTGTGTATCAGGTTCGGGAGGCCGCCGTCGGCGAAGAACTGGTACTTCCAGGATACCTGAGGCCCCTCCTCCTCCTCCTCCTCCTCCTCCTCCTCCTCCTCCTCCTCTTTCTCCTCCTCCACCTCCTCCCCCTCCTCCTCCCCCTCCTCCTCCTCGTTCACAGAGCATTTTTTGACTATTCTTGAAGTATCCTCCTGTAGAGGGACTCGCCCGACCAGACCCCGAGGCTCCGAGGCCAGGCTGGACTCCTGGAAGGGTCAGCGCAGATGGGGTCGGAGGGTCGCGCCGCATCGCCGATACGTCGGCGATGCATCGGCGATGCAGCAGCCGTGCATCCGCGATTCGCCGGCGATGCATCGTCGATGCATCGGCGACGTCGACGCGAAGCACATCGGGCCCCATATCGGACCGCATCGGCGATGCGGCGCGATCCTCCGACCCCATCTACTCCGACCCCATCTATAGACGAGCGCGTTCCACTACTCGCGAAGTGACTACTCGCAAATGGCCTGGATCCCCCGCGGAGGATCTACGATACATGACATGAAAGCAGACGCGTGTTTTTTCGGACGCTTGCGAGTAGGCACTTTGCGAGTAGTGGAACGCGCTCGGTGAATCTAGGAGGCCAAGATGGATGGGCTCCACGACCTCACCCTCGGGAGCGGCCTAGAAACCAGAAGCCCTCCTGAGCCTGGCGGTTCTGGCCTGAAGTCGGGCCTGTCCCTCTGCAAGGGGATTTTGGATGAAAAATAAATAATACCCTTAACATACTCAAACAATGCTCAAAAAAAGAATTCAAAAAATAGTCCCCCGACTAATTTTAAAGTATCTTTGAATCTTTTCCCTGTAGAGGGACAGGCCCGACTTACTCCTGGCCGCGCCGTCTCGGCCGCGCCCCTGTTTTCGGGTGAGGGGGCCAACGGGATCGAGGGGCCAGCTCGAAAGGGGCCCTGGGACACACAAATAAATACACACAAATAAAAACATGCCCATATTTTCCCATATTTTCTAAGTTTCTGTCTTCCCCCCCCCACTTCCCATCTTTTCGCATATTTTCTGGGACTCGACGAATAGTGTCTGTGTGTTTTTTCCCCTCCTGAAGCTCGGCAGACGAGCGCGTTCCACAGCTCCGCAAGGGGGCAACTGCTCGCCAGTGGCCCGGATCCGCCGCGGGAGCTCTGCGGTGCGTCTCGTCGGAGCGAACAGATCGTCTTCGGACGCTTGCGTGTGGGCACCTTGCGCGCAGCGGAACGCGCTCGGTGCGGCTCGGGGGGGGGGGGGGGAAGATGCCGGCCTGCACTCGGCGAGGGGCTCCCCCCGATGGCAACTCCGCGCAGTGCCGGGCGGGGGTGCGCTCTGGGGCCCCCGTCGGCGACCCGTGTGCGCAACCAAAGCAGGACCCCTAGGCCTTTGGGAGGACCCCCAACCCCTGAGCGCTTCAGGAGGGCCACAAACATTAGGGACAGGGGCCCCTCTTTTTTCCTGCCGACGCATCGAACCAAACCGTCCAGATGTTCTACCCCTGATGCAACGACGGGGACCTCAGTGAGGCCACGTCTTCATCGCGCTAGTAGGGTTGCGCGGGGCTCTCCCTTGTGCTCCACGACCATGGGCGATAGGGGGCCCGTGCGCCCTCCCTCCCTGAGCCTAACCTGAGGTCGGGCCTGTCCCCCTACAGGGCGATTTTGGGCGAAAAATTAAACATACCCAAGAACTCAACAACTCGTTCCCATACAATCTTAAATTCCTATTTTGGGCGAAAAAAACCCAAAACATACTTCCCAAAATCTCAAACATATTCAAAACATCGTCCCCAGACTAGTTTTTTAGTATTTTTGAATATCCCCCCTGTAGAGGGACAGGCCCGATTTAAGCCTCACCTTTCCCCCCCCCAGCGTTGGAGCGACGCATGGAGAGCAGGAGGGACGGGGGGAGGGAGGGGAGGGAGAGAAGGAGGGAGGAGGGAGGGAGGGAGGGAGGGAGGGAGGCCCACCACGCGCTGGCCGTCGGCGCCTCCTGGGCCCGGTCTGGTCTTTGGGTCAAAACTCGGGTCTCCGGCGGCTGCTCAGGACGCTCCAGCCGGCCCCAGAACGCCCTCGGCGAGGCGCAGTTGTTGGAGAGCACCCCACGGCCGGAAGACCGCCTAGCAACAAGCTCCCAAAACCTCCAACCCAGGAGAGCCCGGAATCGAATCGAGAAGTCTAGGAGGCCTAGAAATGGGCACCAACGCCAGCACAGGGGGTCTGCCCCCACCAGGGGAAGAGAATCCCAGGTGTTGGTGTTGGCTGTAACCTTTCGGCCACCTGGACAGTCCGAAAATTACCACCATCACCGAGATCTGGATCGCCATCCCTCGGTGGAAGCACACCGCCGATATTGGTGTTGGCCTTAAGTCGGGCGTGTCTCCCTGCAGGGGGATTTTCGGCGAAAAATGTAAAACAGTAAAAAAATACTCCAAAATGGTCAATGGTCAAAAGATACTCAAAAAATCGTCCCCAGACTATTTCTCGAGTAGTTTTGAATATTTTCCCTGTAGAAGGACGGGCCCGACTCAATGTTGGTGTTGGCCTCCGAAAATCGGACCGGCGATCGACACGAATCGGATCGGCGGAGCATCGGCAGCCGGGTCGGGAGGAGTCGCATCGGCGGAGAGCGGCAGGCGAGCGGGGCCTCCACGGAGACACCGAGGTCTCCTCCTCCTCCTCCTCCTCCTCCTCCTCCTCCTCCTCCCCCTCCTTCCAGATCGAGATCAAGCGTCACACCGCATCGGGGTCGGGATCAATCGTCGGCGGCGGGCAAGGGGGGGAAGTGAGAAGGAGAAGGCCTTCTCGAAGGCGGCGGGCCTTCTCAGAAGCCCCCGCGCCTTCTGAGAAGTTCTGTTGTGTCTGCGGAGAGGGCTCAGAGAACTTCTCAGAAGGCCGAGGGACTCCCGAGCCTTCTGAGAAGGCCCCTCTCCTTCTCAGTTCCCCCCCTCGCTCGCCGCCGAAATCAACATCGGATCGGATCGAGCCGGAGGAGCCGAACGAGCCGGACGAGCCCTGCGGGGGGCACCATCGCGAGGGAGCCCAGCATGAGCGAGGGCGAAGGGGAGGCCAGCCGCGCGAGAGTAGGAAGGAGGGGGCGCCCGAGATCCAAGTGCTCGTTCACGGGGGGGTGGGGGCAATTCGCCAGCCCAACGGGCCAGAGGCGTGCTGAGATCTCCAGTGACTGGTTCACAGAGTATGTATACACTCTTTGAAAGGGGCGCGGGTCGATCATGCGCATGCCGCCCCAGGCCCCCCCCCAAAACATAGAACCACACGACACAACACGAAACCACAAACAACCAGGTTTCCACGGACCATGTGAACTGTGGCCCGCGAGAGACCAGCGTCGCCATCGTCGCCGACGTCATCGTCGCCGTCGGCGTCGTTGCCGCTGTCGTCGTCGTCTTCGTCGCCGTCGCCGTCGTCGCCGCCGCCGCCGTTGTCGGCGGCGCCGTCAGCACCGCTGCCGTCGCCGCCGTCATCGTCGACGTCGCCGTCACCGTCGCCCTCGTCGTCGTCGTCGTCGTCGTCGTCGTCGTCGTCGTCGTCGTCGTCGTCGTCGTCGCCGCCGCCGTCGATGGCCATCCCCGTCATCGTCGCCGCCGCCAGTGCTGTCGCCGGCATCTCCCCCGCAATCGTCGTCGCCGTCGCCGCCGTCTTTTTCGCCGCCCGCGTCGTTGTTGCTGCCGTCGTCGGCGCCACCGCCACCCTCGCAATCGGAGTGGACGCCGTCGTTGCCGTCGTTGGCGTCGCCGTCGCCGCTGTCAGCGGCGCGGTCGCCACCGCTGCTGTCGCCGTCGCCGCCCCCGCCGCCGTCGTCGTTGCCGCCGCCGTCAGTCGCCGTCCCTGGCTGGCATCGTCGCCGTCGCCGTCGTCGTTGCTGTCGCTGGTGTCAACCCCACAATCGTCGTCGCCGTTGTCGTCGTCCTCCTCACCGTCCGCATCGTTGTTGCTGCCGTCGCCAAAATCGCCGCCGTCGCTGTCGTGGATGCCGCTGCCGTCGTTGCCAGCGGCGCCGTCGCCGCCGCTCCCGTCGCCGCCGTCTTTGTCGCCGTCGCGGCCGTCGGTCGGCGTCGTGGTCGCCGTCGTCGTTGCCGTCGCCGTCGTCGCCTCTGCCCACGCAATTGCCGTCGCCGCCGTCGCCGTCGAGGCGCGGCGAGGAAGAGGGACGAGCCCCTCCCCGCGGCGGCGGCGGAGGGGGCGGTGCCAGACTTCGTTGGGGCACGGGCTGGGGGGAATGGGATCACACGGGGGCGCCCCCAAACAGTGCAGGAGGCGGAAGGGAGGAGGGGGCAAGGGAGGCGGAGGGGGATGAGGAGGAGGAGATCCACGTCGCCATCCGCCAACACGTGCAACCTTCGGGGTCGACGCTGTGCCGGCGCGGGATACACCCGAGGCCGCGCGAGCCCTCCCCTCCCCCCACACTCCTTCGTCATCCTCCATGGGGGTGGTTCGGGAAGGAGCGGAGCGGGGCGGGGAGGAGGAGGCGGAGTAGGCGAGGAGGAGGAGGAGGACCAGGAGGCGGCTCCACGAGGTCCCCGGGAAGCCCGCGAGGTCCCAGGAGGCCCCGCGGGGCCGCAGGAGCACCAAGCAGCCCCATGTGGCTCCAAGGGCCCCAGGGAGCTCCTGGAGGCCTCAGGAAACCTCCAGGGTCCCCAGGACCACCCGGGAGGCCCCAAGAAGTCCCGGGGGCGGTGGGGGGTTCTTGATGGGTTTCTTGTGAGGTTTCCGGGGTTCTGCTGAGCTCGGCTTTTGAAGCCCCCCATGATGCGCTGAGACATTCTCCAACAATCTACAAAGCCTCGTATGCCAGAGTTCTCATGCCGGGGAAAACGAATCACAGCATCTGAGCGAGAAAACTGGGAGGCCTCAAGAGGCCCGAGGTCCCGCGAGACCCTGGGAGGTTCCAGGAGGTCTCCCGGGAACACCAAGAAGCCCCAGCACTCGTCCGACCATGGGTCCCCATAGTTCGCAAGCCTGTGGTGAGTTCAGGTTTCCCAGAATCCCGAATTATCGGAAACCCATGGCCG